TAACTCGCAGGAATTCTTCTTAATATAGAAATGCTCTGGCACTGTTGTGACAAGACTTTGAGGCACAGTTAAAAATGCTTTCTGAATCAGTGTGTACATTGATGGTCATGGATAGACATCGTCACCATGTCTATTTGGGATAGTTTCATCAGTTGTTCTCACATTCCTTTCAGAGAAGTGAGAAAAACGTCTTTAAGGATTTCCTAATCTATCACCTTGACTGTTATATAACGTATAGAAAATCTTTACCTTCCCTGCAGAATCTGCGGCAGCACGGCGTTGCAAGAGAAGTTTTGCCACATCCAGGCTTCCATACTTGGCTGCTACATGCAGGGGAGTAAAACCCTTCTGAAAATGTGAGAAACAAATGTAAAATCATATTTGTTTGTGTAACTCCTCACAAAATCTTTTTATTTGTTAACATATTAAGGAAACTATACTGATTCTTCATTTGGAAAAAATATTGGTAGCATTAAATCTGTTAGCCATGAACAAGGACAAGAAAAGAATGAATTTAACATGCAAAAGTTTGGCTTGATAGACTGCACAAAATAAATTTTATTTAAGGGCTTGGAGACTGAAGTCTGACTGTACAGGTTTGGGATTTTAAAAGCCACTTGTGTCAGTAAACTGGCTCCAATTTGTGATGGAAAAAAAAAAAAGCCTTTTCTTGTCTCTAAAATTGATAGAATTGAAACAACAGCTGCCTTCTCTCCAACTCTCCTCTTCCTTTTAAACCTTTTTATAACACTTGAATTCCAAATTTATTTAAATTTTAGGATATTTTGGCAGCCATAGCAAAAACAAGTATCCGTGAATTAGTTGACATGTTTCAGCAGAAACAGCAAGATAAATGGTCTATAGAACAAAAAACGTGCACTACTAAAAAGTAACTCCCTTTCTGACTTGTCCCCTTTCCCAGAAGACTCACAACTGTCTAAAAGACCAATTGCTTTTCCAAGAAGACTCACAACTGTCTAAAAGACCAATACATTCTACTTCTGGCATGATGTTGAGCTGATTAACAGCAGACATTTAAACACACTGAAACTTTATAACTTTTTTTTAGAAAGCTGCTCTCCTACACATGTTGATATGTGTACATTCAGTGTCTTGCATGCCTGAACAATGGCCTTACTCTGTACTTAGCAGTGTGTTATAAAAACAGATAAGTCTGTGGACTAAGATCTTGAGGATGGCACAGTTCCTACACCATGATCTCAAATCCATCCTCTTGGCCAGACAGTTTAATCACATGTTCTTCTGGCACTACAGTCAGAGTAGGGAAATTCTAACACTGACCAGGGCCTGTAAAACACACAGCAAATATGCCTGGATTAGGTGCTCTAAGCTATGGCTTATCCTGGGACCATTTAAGCCCCCATCATAAACACAGAATATCCCCCAAGAAGCAATATTCCCCTTTCAGTGTCTCCAGACAAATTATTTTTAAATAAGATGACGTTTTTCTTTTTGCTTCTTTTTGAACATTTGGTATTAATAAGTTCTTGGAAGACAGTGAATCTTCTGGCTTTTTCCAAATGTGGGACAAATGTAGGAAGTATTTCTTCCTTCTTGCATTGTCCATATAAACCAGCATAAAATTCTCCCCCCTCCACTCAATGATGAGGGTGATACTCTGGATGAAGCAGTTCTTTGAGACAAACTATATGATGAAGAAGGAAAAATAAACTCCTTATCTTTAAAGTCTTGCTAGAATAGTGATCCAACTCTTATAAATTTGGAAATAATTATTAGACAAAACTCCATAAAATATACGGAAGAATAACAAAACCAAAGTTAGAAGGCATCTCTTGAGTCATACATACATCAACCTTCTTCCTCTATGTTAATCCCACCACGACTTATTTACCCTCTGATATTTAGAAACACTTAAATGACTTTAATAATGATGAATCAACCACTTTGAGCCCTAGTCAGTTGAATATTTAGAAACTCTTACATGGCTTTAATAATGATGAATCAACCACTGTTGAGCTCTCATCAGTTTAACTCTTAAAATGCTGTTTAACATTTTATTCTATTTTATTGCCCTAATTTACCATGGATCTAGTTATATTTTTTAAATACTAAAAATCTTTGAAAGAAAAGAAACTATTTTTTATTCTCTATTTCTATATTTTATGTATCTTAATTTTGATGATTTATACCTTCCTCTGATAGGACAATCACTTAGTCTCTCAGGTTATTACCACATTTGTTGCTTAGTTTCTGTTTTTTAAGAACTTTTAAAATCCTTTCAACTTTTCAGCATGCAAAATTTCAATAATTATCAATTTCTTATATCAAAATACTTTTTATAGCCATAGGCCACCAGATAAGCCATAAGAGGCAACCCGATAAGCCATAACAGCTAGTGGGCTCCTCCTACTTATAACAGGACAGAAGCCACATCACTGTCTCAGTTTATATTTGCAACCTTCCTTCTCCCTGGATGCAGTCCCTATGCCTACTTAGTATGAGAGAATTGAAATTGTCCTTTCATTAATCTGAATCACTGTTACATTTGAGGGAATTATTTTGCCCCATGACAATTCCACTTGCACTAGCTCTATTTATTTTGCTCCAATTAGCTGAGCATATTCATGTTTTATTCTAAGTCATCTCCAAATTATGAATGTCAAATAGAATGTATAAAGCATAGGAAAAATTGCTCTGCCCTGTCATGAAACTTGGAACATAAGTAAAATTCTTTGTTCAGTGTCATTAATAACTAAGGAGGTGTGATTTTCCAGCCCAGCTCTGTTTAAGCACTGCAAATATCCAGGCAAAAGATCGGAAACTAATATGGGAATGAGAATGTCAGGTAAGTGATGGCTAATGATAGGGTTGGCAAAATGCAAGATTAAGTAAAGTGAGCTTCGATCTGGTACTACAACTCACGACACATACATCTAATACAGTACCGTCTTCCTCATTAGTATTACCAGTTCAATGTATTTAGGAATTCCATTTATCTTTTTGTTCAGAATATATTATAGGTTTTATAATGCAAAGAAGAAAAAGTGGTCCTTGCTTTATGAAAATCGTCTTAGAGTACTAGATACTTGTCCTAGCAACAACACCAGCATTAATTAGAATGAAATTCAACACTCTTTACTGAAGATATATGGAATCTCACAATTCCCTTAAATCATTTAGAGAATGAATCTTAAATATGTAGAGCAAGAAGTAAGTCAAGGCCTAAGGAGATCTACCTCTTGGTTCTGTATGTGGTAGAGCAGAAAGGCCATGACTTAGGAATCCTCTTGGTCCATGTTGTCATGATGTCATTCTCCTTACCTTGGTAGCTAAGGAGTGGGCTGCTCCTGCTTCCAACAGGACTGATGCCACGTCCACCTGGCCCTCCCGGGCAGAGATGTGCAGTGGTGTGTACCCATTTGTAGTGGCTGCATCTGGATGAGCCATATGTTGCAGAAGCAGCTGGACAATTTCTGTCTTACCCAGGCGGGAGGCAATATGCAAAGGTGTCTGTTCCTCCTACAACTCAAGTCAAGTAAAAAGTTAGTGCCAGGCAGACAGAACTTCACTGGTGATATGTTTCACTCATCTATTTCATGATGTCTTCTTGGAATCTCTAGGAACCCCACCCAAAAGGAAATCATTACTGCTTTGACCACGGCATATTTTATATTTTGGAATCCTATATTTGGAATCCTGTATTTTGGAATTTTATATTTGTGACCTGATTGGTCACAAGGTCTCCCTTCGATTTTTAAAAAGAACGTACTTCCATGAACTTGATCATTGCTTTCTGGGCATCCCAAAGTATTTCTCAATTCATTAAGCCTTCAGGCCTCACTTATGTTTAAATACAAACTAACTCATGGTTTTGAATAAGAAGGAAATCTAGTCCAAAAGTCCTAAGACCTAGATTTTCATCCAAGAGTTTTCACTTAAAGGCAGGATCTATTCTGGGAACTCTATCAAGAGAAAAAGAACAAGGGATGCTGGAAAATCTTTGATTTTACTCCATTCAGCAAGCCAAGGATACAAACGCTGGTCGTTTTCTTCATGGAGAAACAGTGCACAAAGAAGATATTGTAATCTAGTTTTAAAAGATGTTTCAGAAAATGCTGCAGATAGTTCTGGAACTTGCATACAGGACTTAAAAAATGAAAGGGACTCTGGCAAGAAGCAAATAGGATGAACTATTTTCCAACTGCTTTACATTTAAAAATAGACAATATAGCTAGGTATAAGGGACAGGAAGGACAAGTTCCAGGAGACTCAAGAAAATCACCTGACTCTGATGTGTAGTTGGAAATAATGTTTTCAGTGTTTAGAGAACCGGGCCAAACCACTGTCTTATAAAAAGAAAACTGAGTGTAAATTTAGTGATAAAAAGGGTATTATCTTTACAACTGCCCAAGGGCATGTCATAACAAAAGTGAGGAAGGGAAAACTGGGCTGACTTCCAGGGCTAAGAATGAATGGAGAAAAGTAGATAGAGGAAGGAAGATCTATCCAAAAACTTAAGATAAGTTTTCTTATAAATTATCTTAAAGTTATAAGAAAAAATAGAGGGAGTTATAGTAAGAGATAAAATAGTCCGGCATGAATTTCAAGGTAGTAGAAAATAAATAAATAATAGTAATATGATTATTTTAGCACTAGAATTGAAATTTTGTGAACATTTGCTGTTGATCAGCTTTCTTTATTTATGATGCATATGTGACCTAATCCTCCTGATAGAGTTAAAAGGAAAACCTAAAATGTATTATTAGACCATTTTCCAGATTGAGATTAAGAAAAATTAAATGAGTACTCAAGGATTGTCCAGGTTTACTCAGCTATTAAAACAGAACTTGAATTCCGGGCATTGGACTCTAAAGACATGTTTCTGCCTATACTGTCTTTGGAAATAAATACTACGATAAGATGGTCACCAAGAGACCTGTCAGGGCAAAGTGACTCTTAGTAGGAAAGGAGACTGATAACACATTAGAAGATAAAATTTCTCTGAAATACAGAGGAGAAAATAGAGGGGCAGGGAGAATAAACATTTTTTATTTATAATTAAAATGAACATATTTTTATTTCTAAAAATAAGTGGTTAGTAAAACAGACAATTTAAAAACCGAGGAACTTGAGAATAGCTATGATGAACACTTGTTTCTGGGGTTCCCTTCTCAGATCTCTGCCCTGCAGAGATAGAGGTGGATGGGTAATGCAAGTGACACGCTCTAAAATATATTTTCCATGAGTAAGAGGGATAGTTGGGGTGATGATGACTTTTTAATCCAGTGCTGAGAAGTGGCAATCATCGACTGGAGGTAGGTAGGTAATTGGTTAATTATTAACTATTGATCCTTGGTTCTTAGACTGTATAGCATTAATGTTCTTCTTCAAAAAATAAGGCTTATGTCTTGCCTACTTCTTTCCATTTTTGTTAAAGTTCCATCAGAAAGTGGAAAAAGAAAGAACATATAAATTTTGCAAAGAAAATATTTCAACCTGTAACCAGGGATATAAGACCTTTAGGATTGGCCAATTATTTCCCTGCTGAATTGCCGAAAGTTGAATTTACTGCCTCAGGGTAATTATAATTCAAACCAGGGCAAAGAATAGGGAAAGTGCAGAAGAAAAGATTCATGGGAAAAGGTAAAGAAATGGGGGAAGCCTGATTACCTAGACCTCTTCCAACAATGAGAGGCAACAATTCCCTCATCATAAGCATTTTATCTGATATAGCCTGGACCAGAAGCAGAAGAGCTTTGCTTTGCCACTGCAGTCTATCATTTTACTCTGGAGACTTGCTGAGCTCCAACCCTTTTTACAAAGAGAGAAAAACAACACTGGCATGATAAAGTTCAGAGATTTGAAAAAATTTCTCTTACTAGTTACTAGCTAATAGGGTTCCTAAGAGCACATCTCCTAGTATCTAACTAAAGTTCTAAATGAGCTAAGTTTCAGGCGAGTTTAAGCCTAGGACCCCTGAGATTGCATGATTCCCTAAAGCAAATGACAAGCCTTGTAATTGTGCCAACAAAACCAGCTCCCAGATGGGCCGGCTCTGGTGGCCCTCTCAGTAGTGTCCATTGAGGACACTGGACAAGGAAGGGCCTTCCTAAGAGCAGGACCTGGGGGCAAACACACTGGCTGACAGAGGAACGGAGGCCACTGTAGACTCTGCTTTCCAGTCTGTCCAGCAAAATGTGTCTTATGCTCTGGACTAGTGAATAGAGTGTGCTGCATGTACTTAAAAAATTACAGATACTATTATGAATATATGGTTTTTCTTTTGTTATATTTTGTGAATAGGCAAAACATATGACTTAGCCCCATGATTATATACCCATGAGATACTATTTCTAAACCTGATTGAGAAGATTGTGAACTACCCAGTGATCTTGACCTTGGAGCTCAATGTAGTAGCTGGGCACAATTTTTTACCATTTCTTCTTTGGAAGAGGGCGAATTCTAGGGCAATGTTACTAGGTTTAGAGAGGAAGTTTTCAAAAGTGTGTGTGGTTGTGTGTGTATGTCTGGAAAATCAAGAAGTAAAATAGAAGATATGTGCTCATTTTTCTGTCCAATACTCCCTGCACCCTTCTTCTGTGACAGCCCTCCCTCATTTAGAGGAATTAGATATCCCATATTCCCTGTGATTCTAGAAGGGCTGCCAGTCTTCTTACCCCACCCCATAAATGGGCCACGTGAGTGGATAGGAGCCCAAGTCATAAGCTCAGGGAGAAAATATGACTAATTACAAACCAGTGATTTGTTCCAATGGGAGAGAGAAGGGCTCTCTTTACATCTGAAGTGGGAGGTAATGACCTTTAGGAAAAAGAGTTAGGAGAAAGATGCAGAATCAGAGGAGAAATGTTTGTCTTATCTTAATTCTGTCACCACAAGTTAATCAGCACAATCTTGAATTTCAGGACACTAAGCCACCCTACAACACAGGATTGCTCTGGGTATCAAATAAGATACTTTGTGTTTAAATGCTTGATGAATTCTAAAGCACTGTTGAAATGTTAACTAAATCAAAGAGTCCCAGGAACACATTAAAAGGATTGACAATAAAAACCTCATGGTGAAAGTACACCTTAAAACAGGACTTGTGAACAGGAAAACCCTAACTCCTTGCTGCTTGAAACATAATCCCCAAATCAGGATTCCTGACATCATCTGAGAGTTTGTTAGATCTGCAGAACTGAATTACAATATGCATTCTAGCAGGGTCCCTAGGTAATTTGTACACATATTGACCTTTAGGGAGCACGGCTTCACAATAGAAAATGCTATAGGGAAGAGATTTCAGTTGTAGCTTAGAATGAATGGGAGGTAGAGCTGAAAAAAAAAAAGGTAACATCTGAAATTTGATATTTAAATTAGAAGGAATAAGAAATTAGATATTTATATATGTAGACAAGGATACAAAATGTAGTTGCAAATGAGAAGTAAAAAAAAGTAGAATTAATGAAATCTGTGTGTAAAATTAGCTAATTAATTCATATTTGAAAGGAAAGAGTCTGTTGCCAGTGGTGCTTTTAAGGAATAGGCTTCAGAGGGTATCCAAAAAGATAAAAGTTTGTAATAATGGATTATATCAATACAGAAAAATTTGGCAGAGATATATTAAAATGAATAAATTTCCATTAAAAGTAGAAATTTTAATTTGAATAATAGAAAAACATTAAGGGGTTTTACTTTAGGAGAGAGAAATGGGAAACCCTTTCATTATTAAACATGAATCACAAAAAATTTACAGGATCATCAACACAATTTCCAGTCACTCAGATGTGCAACTCAGATGTGTCGTGCGTCAAATTTCACGACACTCAGAGTGCACTGGTTGACTAAATAGCTGAATGACATGTAACCTTAAAAGGAAACCAGAAAACACTATGGCAGGGTAAGCTCATGGCTGAATAAAGCTTTAAATAGATAAGAATATAATAGATCAATGATGATTACCAAAGAACATAAATGACACTATGTGGACAACAGATAGCAAGGCAGATGAAAACCAAGTCAACGAGAGTAATGTTAAGGCTGTCTGTGTATCACTGGATTCTGCCTGAAGATCTGTGGAACCTGTTACAAGAAAATGTCTATGAAATTCATTGAATCAAAGAACGTTAAGAAAATCTGGAAAGGAGTTTTGAGTTTCTGTGTCCAACTCTATTTTACTGATAAGTACGCGGAAGTGGCCAGAGGCTGGCCAGATGACCAAACAGGAACAGCTCCAGTCTGCAGCTCCCAGCAAGATCAACGCAGAGGGCAGGCAATATCTGCATTTCCAACTGAGGTACCCAGCTCATCTCATTGAGACCAGTTAGACAGTGGGTACAGACCACGGAGGGTGAGCTGAAGCAGGCTGCGGTGTCACCTAAGCTGGGAAGCCCAAAGGGTCAGGCAACTCCCTCCCCCAGCCAAGGGAAGCTGTGAGGGACTGTGCCATGAGGAATGGTGCATTCTGGCCCAGATACTACGCTTTTCCCATGGTCTTCATAACCCATAGACCAGGAGAT